TTTTAAACATTTTGTTAACACATATTTACTGTTTATGAGTTAAATATCTCATTCACTGTGAAGAGGAAGAAAAAAAAACTATGTAAATTTAGTGATTTCTGTGGTGGTTAGCCGTACAGACCACTCGACGTCAAAGGTCCAGGTAGCTCTCATATTGAGGATTGGAAATGCGCGCTCTCTGATTGTATTCCTTCATTATATATATATATATATATATATATATATATATATATATATATATATATATATATGTATGTTTATATATATATATATATATATATATATATATATATATATTTTATATATATAACACATACATAATATATATACATATACATACATATATATGTATATGTGTGTGTGTGTGTGTGTGTACACACATGTATATATACATATACATATACACACTGACAATCACATGTATGTATATTTATGAGTGATACACACGCACACACACACATACACACAAACACCCCCCCACACACACACACTCATGCGCGCGCACGTGTGTGTATCTATATTTGTATATATATATATATATATATATATATATATATATATATATATATATATATATATATGTATATATATTATGAATGTATGCACATATATACACACATACATATTTACATTTATATGTATAAAGTCGTCTGTTTCCGTATTCGTACACGCAAAAAATATGATCAATCAGACACAAAATTTGCCCTCTCAATTACAGTCATAATGACAATCTTATTACCTTACAGCAAAATATTTTTGGTTCACATTTAATTTAGAAAGTTGACAAAAAAGGATCTTGATATAAAATTAAAATAGCTGAAAAGGGGTAAACAAAGTCAATATTGATCTAATCATAACACATTTCTGATTTTATATTACAAAATAAAAAGTGAATGAGGGCATGATACATGATAAATAGATATACCCAGATTTTATGATACTGACAAACGACGAGCGAGGCCATCACGCCCACTGATCTCAATAGACACAGACGAGACTCGTGCAGCATAATATGACGTAACAGGAGTAGTCAGCTGATTACGACACCCGCGTTGCATGTACTAGCGAGTGTTAGAAAGGTTTCAAACTCATTTTGTTCCTGAGATGAAAGGCAGTGCGCATTCCCCCTTTTTTTTTTTTTTTTTTTTTTTTTTTTTTTGGCGCGCTTCGGGAATCCGGTTGGAGACGGTAGTCCTGTGACGTCACAGCCGCGGGAGGTATAAATAGGAGGGGCCATCTTGATCGTCCTCATTCGCATTCCAGTCGCTCGACCGACATGAACGCCAAGGTAGTTCTGGGCGCTGGTTTCACTGCTGTTATCAGAGGCGTTCGCGTCAGAAGTACCGTCGATAGTATCTTAACTATTAGTTTAAGTTGTTATCAACTTCTGCTACTCTCATCATGGTCGGGATTATTTTCTAGATTGTTGTTAGCATTGATATTATTGCAAAAAACGAGTTTAGTAATAAAATGAACCACTGCCGAAGAGAGCAGAGGCATAATCCTCGCAAATTTCTCCTTGAACAAAAATCCCAATAGGATTTCTCACCTGAAAAAAAATGTTTTTAACTCGAAACGTTGTGAATTCTGTTTTCTTCCTTAATATCATTCTCCTATAATTTCCACGCCATAATGCAACAGTATATTTCAATATCTTGTATATTATCATTAAATTAAATCTTATCATTGTTTTTGACCAATCAAATCTACGCCTTTAACAGACTTTCATCATACTTAAAAATCCTTCCAACTCCAACAGGTCGTCCTCCTCCTCTCCCTCGTTGCCATGGTTACGGCCGACGCTCCTCCGGCCTACTCCTATGGCGCTCCGGTAGGTTGCCTTCGACGCCGCTGTGGGGGGGGGGGGGGGGCGATTGGGTGGATTACTCGCCGCGTAAATTGTTATAAGTTGACATATATATATATTTTTACAAATATACTATATGGTTTATTATTTTTTCTTTTTGTTTTAATCATTCTTATTTCTGGCTATCCTTTTCTTGTTATCATTATTATGATGATTATCATTATTAAAAGTACTACAATTATTATTATTACTATTGTACTCACTACTGTTAAATCTAATCTTTCTTTTCATTATTGAAATTTTGGTCCAGTCGTCGGAGGAATCCGCTGAGGCCAAGTACGACTTCCAGTGGGCCGTGAAGGACGACTACTCCGGCAACGACTTCGGCCACCAGGAGTCCCGCGACGGCGACGACACTCAGGGATCCTACTACGTGCAGCTCCCCGACGGCCGCCTGCAGAAGGTCACCTACTACGTGGACGGCGACTCCGGCTACGTGGCCGAGGTCAGCTACGAGGGCGAGGCTCGCTACGACTCCGCCGAGTCCCGCGAGGACGCCTACGCCCCGCCCAGACCCGTGTACGGCTGAGGACGTCTCTCCCTTCCCGCTCTCCCAGGAGGACGTCTCCTCCCTTCTCGCTCATTCTAAAGGATGCTGATCCTTCTCGCTCCCTCTGAAGGATGCTGCTCCTC